GAATTTTCATATCTGTGACCTGAGGTCAGGCCAGACTCGTGACCTTTACATTGCAAGCCTATGGGAAAATGTTGAAACGCCTCCTGCTTCGTGTAAACGAGTCAAAATCACCCAGTTCTTTCAGTATTATGGAAGATTATCTCATCGGTGATGATCCTGGTGCCGCTAATTGACAGGGGCACCGGTAAAGGTCATCTGAGGTCATGTGACGTCATAAATCGTTTTTCTGTCAATAAATCACGACATGATGGTGCTAAAGACTTGTAAGTGGTACCAAACTGCTCGCCTGGTCAAGGCGCGTCGTTTGGTATGCAGCATGACCATACCCCACAACCTCATTGATGAATGACCTGACCTTGACCTCAGGTCAAATTTTAAATTGACCTGTGAAGGTCATCACATACTTATTTCGCATCGCTTCGGCGAGAGCAACAAAAAATGTATTGGTTTTATGTCTCTATGTTTCTTAGTTTAAAAGTTATATAGGTAACTAATTCCAAAACATTTTATCGTTGATGACCTCTGGTGACCTCAATATTGACCTGACCTGAAAATGTTTTATGTAAAAGTTGTAGATCTTTAAACGACCTATCAAACGCCGTTCGCCGTTTGTCGCTGCGATGTGTAGTTTTTGAGATCTGAAGGGGGGCCGAATCGCCCCCCCCCCGCCAGTTTCTTGTCCCGGCGGAGCCCGCCAGGAATAGGGTTAAAGCAAGCTCATGAGCCCTGCGACACTTGCACGGTAATTGAGCCTGTCGCAGACATTTGGCGAGAGTTGAGAAAGGCCCCGAAGATTTCGTTTCACGCTTTGAACGAAAATTGTGTCAGCACTCCAAAACTTATGAAAATCAGCTGTAAAATGTAATAAAGAACGAACTAGGAACATGGAATGAATCACAGCATTGACATTTCCGAGTCTGGACTCGGAGTCTTGAAGATTTTGGCGACTGCGAGTCAGACTCTGGTTTAAACTGCACGCTCCAACCGAGTCTGACCTCACGGACATTCTCAGAAAGGTACCCCCATTTTTTCCCGACTCCAAAATCTCATCGGATCTGTATCGATCTCAGGGGGTGCCCGGTCCGAGGTTGGGGGGGGGGGCAAGCTGCCCCGCTTGCCCCCCCCCCCGTGGCGACGCTAATAGCATGTCACAGGTCATTCGGTGTCACGTGGCGCGTGCCACGTGCCGACAAAGTCAGGAAGGGCAAAAACCTTTAAGCGACGCTCCAAATTAAACGGTGGACGGCACAGGTGCTAAATTCACAGGTCACATATCCCGGTGTTCGACCATTAACATATGGTATGCTCGGCAGCAGGGGGTGCGGAATGCACGCGCTAGGGGCGAAAAACATGCTTTGAGGAGGCATCCTCCGATTCCGGAAAACCTTGACCTAGGCACGCCAAATTTGGCACACTGACACGACTGGACGAGCGCTTTAAGGCGCTGTACAAATAGATGTGCTGGGGTACACGGTGCACGTGCTGTGCACGTGCAAACCTTTTGACGTTGCACTCTGTGTCACATATACGGCAAGAGCGGGTAGCGCTAGCAAGCTCAAAGTGCCAAATTTACACAGGCCATCCAGAATGCATTCCCGCATAGGTATTGAGCATATCCATCTCCTGGTGGACCCCGAAGGTGCGCTCTGCACGTGCGGCGGGGATGCTTGGACACCCCATGTGGATTTATGTAAATATCTCGAAAACGGCGTTGTGTAGGCACACCTATTCATACATCTTTTTCACACATGCTGCGTAACTTTCAGACTTAGGTCACTCAAGGTTAGGTCATCAGATTACGTCCAAGTGACCTTACCTTAGGAAAAGTTATAGTGCCCGTCATAGCTACACAGACTGAACAATCGGTCTAAAACGTTGGCAGCGATTACTAAGAGCAATATATATATATATATATATATATATATATATATATATATATATATATATATATATATATATATATATATATATATATATATATATATATATATATATATACGTAAAGTACCTCTTATACCTCGGAATTTCACTGTCACTGACCTAGGGTTCTGTTGATTTTGCGACCTTTCTATTATAGGTAAGTCAATGGGAGACAATTAAACTGCGCTTCTGTTGCACGAAACTCGTATAAACATACTAAACAATGCACTCAAATAACGGGACACGGGTAGCACGAAAACGTGACAAATTTAATCGGGAAATTGTACCTGTGACTTGTACTTATGTCCTGGGGTTATTTCAGGTCATGATAGCTCTCCACAGACCACAACATTTTGACAGTAACCTTTGGTAGAGACATGCAAGAGCGCTGAAAACACTTTTGATATGTTTAGTTAAACTTCGTAAATTGATGTTGTTGCGAGTTCTACGGGTCAGTTCTCAGGAAAGTCATGTTTGTTTTGATCACAGCTGATGTTTTCATGCATTTAGGCCAGGTCGGGTCAGGTCAGGTCAGGTCAACCAGTAGGTGTCCTGCCGCTTATCCATAGTAGGTGTCAACCACCACTGATGGCGTCGTAACATGTTACGAAGGCACTAAAACTATAACTTCTTGAATGTTAAACTGAATACTAGATTCGAAATCAGCTCCAAAAATTGTCCTAGGAACATGTAATTTGTAAAACTCGAAAGGGTGAACCAAGGTCATTAAAGGTCAGTGACCTTGACCTCATTTTCACGTGACCTTGACACCCACCATATTGCATGTGACCAACATTATATCACATGTTTGAACGCTTGAAACCACGAAAAGACAGCATACCTACGCGCGGCTAGTGCGCGCCGACATACGCCGAATCGCGATTCCGGCCAGGCATGGTCTCGTAATAATAACTTAATATCAGATGCTGATTTACCGCTACTCAGTCAAGTTAGAACCATTTCTTGGCCGCGGTCACCGGCCAGGCCACCACATAATCGTATTACACCGCGCTTGCTCAATGCTCAGTTCGTATTGTAAAAGCACTGCGGCACAGCATAGATGCAGGCGCTCTGCTACTGCCATCTATGGGTGAAAGATGAAGACAATGGTTATTGCGGTACAGTATCCCTACAGGCGCAAACAACGTGGAAACAAAGATGCCTATGCTGCGCGCTACCGGGCGATGGTAGCGTAAATTTGCGTTGCTGGGTAGCTAAAAGTTTTGGAGTCCGAATTAACGTAACCTGATGACCTAACCTTGAGTGACCTAAGTTTGAAAGTTACGCAGCATGTGTGAAAAAGATGTATGAAAAGGTGTGCCAAAAACGGCGGCGCTACACAACGCCGTTTTCGAGATATTTACATAAATCCACATGGGGTGTCCAAGCATCCCCACCGCCCGGCGCGGACATTTTTTTTTTTGCACGTGCAGAGCGCACCTTCGGGGTCCACCAGGAGATGGATATGCTCAATAACTGCGGGAATGCATTCTGGATAACCTGTGTAAATTTGGCACATTGAGCTTACTAGCGCTACCCGCTCTGCCGTATATGTGACACAGAGTGCAACGTCAAAAGGTTTGCACGTGCACAGCACGTGCACCGTGCACCCCAGCACATTTATTTGTACAGCGCCTTAAAGCGCTCATCCAGCCGTGCCAGTTTGCCAAATTTGGTGTGCCTAGGTCAAGGTTTTCCGGAATCGGAGGATGCCTCCTCAAAACATGTTTTTCGCCCCGGGCGCGTGCATTCCGCACCCCCTGCTGCCGAGCATACCATATGTTAATGGTCAAACACCGGGACATGTGACCTGTGAATTTGGCACCTGTGCCGCCCACCCTTTAATTTGGAGCGTGGCTTAAAGGTTTTTGCCCTTCCTGACTTTGTCGGCACGTGGCACGCGCCACGTGACACCGAATGACCTGTGACATGCATCATCACCTGCCTGAAAGCATTACCCGTCGAACGGTACCACCAGCATCTCGATCCGATCATCCGTTTAGACGCAATTCCAATTGTATTGGCTCGATGACCTTTCAGAGCACGGGTTTTTGGCAACGTAAAATGGCGCCTTGTCGGCTTCACTATCTTCCATAGGAGGTCCATTGGGATCGTCAGTCCAGTTTATTTATACGTCCGTGATATAGGGTAATTTAAATGATTGGTATGCTCAAACAAAAGTTTAATATCACAACTTTTGATATTTTTAGCTAAAGACGTCATTTTATCAGCAAAGCCAACAACTCGCGTAAGAAATATTGTGTTCAGTGTTTCTAACGTCATGTGCATGAACAATAAGCAAGGTTTACGATGCCAAATAATGCAATTCCAATGGCTCCGTTGATCAGCATTTTCTGTTAGCGTCCACTCACACAACAATTCGAACATAAAAGCGCCAATTTTGTATTATGTAAATGGACTTGCCCGGAAATATCCAGAAATACATCCAATCTAACTTCATCTAGATAATATTTTATGAAGCCTTACCTGTCATTTCTCTTTTGAATTACCTGAAAGAACTACTGAACGCCAGTCTTCAATAGCTGTAAGGTGTTCTCCTAATGACCAGGTAAGATTGATTTGAAAGGGACATGACAATGCAACATGGGTGCATTTTCTGAAGTTGTCAAGCTGATGATGTTGAAGGAACAATTGATATACTCAGTTATCTGTACCAGGTGTGCAGGTTCCCTTATTTAATGATGGCAAATTGAAATGATAAAAGCATTCCAGGTTTGCATAGGCTTCACCACTTCCATTGTTGCTGGGCATCCATTCCTTTGGCATTATTTTCACAGGTCAGACTGTTTATCAGAATGTAAGTTCAAGCATTCAAAATTTTATATTTCAGTATTTAATATTGAGCTTGAAATCTCACACCCGTGGCCACAGCCGTGGCAGTGCTCTTGGAAATATTTGCAGCCGCCCCGCCCCATAGCCGTGGGGATGCAGCCAGCCGCGGCTGCAGCCGGCCGGTGCCGACCTCTACTGCGCCCCGCCACTGGCAAGTGGTGCGCCCGGTAGCGGCTGGAGGTGAGATGGTCGGGTGTCCTCTACTGCTGGTGAGGCCGTCACAGTACCTGCTGCTCGGTGAGCCCGTGCCGGCGGCCGGCGCCTGTGCCCTGGCTTTTCAGCGTCTCGCGGAGGGCAGTAACGGCGCCGTGGCGGACCTCCCATTGTGGCGAGGTCAGGTCGTCGCAAAGCAGTTGGCACCAGCTTTCCAGCGGCCACTCGGGCCCCTGAGGCACACAGTCACCGTCAGCCGACGTACAGGTCTCGCGGGTTTTAAGCGTAGGTTTTGCCTTTCCGGCTATATCTTTTTCGTCTTCAGCTTTGTAGGCTTGAAGATGTGACCGATTCATTCGTATTTCGTATACCCTTTCATGATCATGGAAAAAGGTTTGATCGCATGCCGGCTGGTTTCGGAGAAATCAAAAGAAAACCTCAAAGTTCGCCGTTTGGGGCAATCTAACCGCGGCTTCCCTGCAGTCGCCTATGACTACAGTGGCGCCACCTAACGAGAAGGATGCTGAAACACAGAGGCATGAATGAATCCAGCGCGTGATGAGCGGTGGATAAAGGCGGGACTCGGCAGAGGCTATCACTGCGGCCCGCGCAGTGCGTCCTTGGACAGCGGGCGAGCCTTCGGGCGGTGAGGTCAGAGGTAACGACAGCCAGGCTCTGTTTGACATGAAGGGAGGGGAGGCGCTCGCCTCAGCCAACTCAGCCGGTTTGGTGGTAGTGTGTGTGTGTGGGGGGGGGGGGGGTCGGCAGGCGAGAGGGGCTAGAACGAACGGGATAAAATAGAATTGTATTGACAATTAAAACACTCTCCATATTAAAATGGCTATTCTGAGTGTCGCGTCTGAGTTAAAAGGGGAAAACGAGTTAAAATGCACCCAAATCACAGCACTCAGTAAACATATCGAACCATTCACTCATCCCTAAATACGTAAAAACCATTCGGAAACAGAGCGTTTAAAACTTCCCATAGAGAGGCTCCTAAAATCATGGGGCAGGCGATTATATAACTGGGCGATGCTGTAGAGCAGACGGCGCCTCCCTGCTTCGGTCCTCACGCGTGGGAGAGCCAGATCAGTGTCCCGCCTTGTCGAGCGTGAGCGCAGGGAAGAGTTGGTCAGGATTTGAGAGGATATAGTCTCCGGCTCCCCAGTGCAGCGTATTTTGTGAAGGAAATTGAGTGAGTGGATTTCGAACAGCTGACGGGCGGTGGGCCAACCCAGTTCCTCTCGCACGTCCGATATGTGGTCAAATTTTCTTCGGCCAGACACAACGCGCAGCGCAAAATTGATGACTTTTTGGAGACGTTGTATGTTTTTGTCCGAGCCGTTTCCGTAGACCGAGAGACAATAACGGACGTGCGAGAGGACCAAGGCGCTGACCACAGTAGGCAGGAGTTCACTAGGGATGTGGTGACGCACGTGGGACAGCCCGATGAGAATACCGTTGCATTTTTGGACGAGGGCCGATACGTGAGCGTCCCAGGTGAGGTGCTTGTCGAAAACCACGCCAAGGTTCCTCACCGTAGGGCCCTCACGGATCGTGTCCTCACGGAACCGAATCGAGATGGGATCCAAGCCACGGCAGTTTTGACGAGAGCCAAACATGATGAGTTCAGTTTTGTTAGCGTTAACTTTCAAACCGTTGGTATGAAACCAGGCGTCAAATGAGTCCAAAATTTGTTCCAAAGTTGCAATGAGATGAGGGAGGGAGTCTTTTTTGCCAGATAGTAAGATTTGAGTATCGTCAGCGTACTGCACCACGTGCGCCCCAGGGGCGTAGAGGGGGAGGTCATTGGCAAATATTTGGAACAGGAGCGGACCGAGCGAGGATCCTTGGAACACGCCGATAGGATTGGGTAGAGGATCGGAGAGGACTCGATTTCCTCGCCCGTCAGCTGTGCAAACAGATTGGGTATGGCCACGGAGGTAAGAAGAAAACCAGGTCGGATCGATAGAATAGGTTTGAAGTTTGGACAGAAGCTTTGTGTGGTCGATCACGTCAAAGCATTTGGAGAGATCGAGGAGACAGAGGAGAGTGAGTTCCTGTCGGTCGGTGGCAGAGAGGATGTGATCGGATACGGTGGCGAGCGCGGTTTCTGTGGAGAGACAAGAGCGGAAACCGTGCTGGGATGAGGAAAACAGATGGTTGCCAGACATGTAGGTGTACAGCTGCTGCTGAGCAACTTTTTCTACAAGTTTGGCAAAGGCAGGATCTCTGATCGGCTGATCACTCGCCGCTGCAACGGAATGCTGACTGGCCTTTTACACCTGCGACATTATCTACCCGAATCTGAACTGTCGACCCTCGTCTCCGCCCTGGTTCTCTCTCACGTTAGATACTGTTTATCTGTTTACGGAAACGGTACCCTTAAGAACCTGGACAGAATTCAAAAGGTTCTAAATTTCTCAGCCAGAGTGATCTCGGGGCGAAAAAAGTTTGACCACATATCTGACGTGCAGAGAGAGCTGGGGTGGTTATCGGCACCTGATCTAGTCCGATATCACACACTGATGTTGGCCCACAAAGTCCAGAGGCATGGCGAGCCCGATGAGCTGGCGGGTATGTTTCGGCGTTGTCATGATGTGCGTGACCGACTGACGCGGCAGGACGAGGCGCTCCGCGCACCCCGCTGTAGGAAGGCGTGCGGTCAAAGGCGCTTCGCATACCGCGCCGCGGTGGCTTACAACGCGCTCCCTCCTGCCCTGACCGAACGGGCGGTCGGACCGTTCTGCGGAGGATTGAAGCGCCACCTGTTACGGGGTGGCGGTGCAGATGTGATGGACTAAGCGCAGATGATCGTGTGCATGTTTTGAATGCGTGTTATACCTCCCCATTCGTTCGTTTTATGTGTTTTATGTAAGCGTTTGACACTGAGCAATTTAGCCTCGGTTATCGCGGATGCTCTACGGATGTTTAATACAATACAATACAATACAATACAGGAACAATGGAGATAGGTCGATAGTTGGATGGATCAGTAGGATCACCGGCTTTGTGGATGGGGTAGACGATGGAGTGCTTCCAGGATGCGGGAAATTCACAAGTTGTGAGACAGGTGTTGACGAAGTAAAGGAAGATGTGACTGATGGAATCGAAACAGAGGCGAAGGATCCGGATGCTGACACCGTCGGAGCCGGAGGAGGAGGAGTTTTTCATGGAAAAAAGGATGTATCGGAGGGACTGAAGGGAAATACGCCCGGTTATATATGACAAGATATAACCGGTTTTTCCGCGACACAACGAGCGTCTTCTTTGGGGCGGCCCCGGAGCCGGGCCGGCCTCTGCGAGCAGCGTTCGGCGGCAGGCGGGCGGCCGCCTGTGCGCCCCCGGGCGGCAAGGCCGCTAAGGCGGCGGCCTCATCTGATTGGTGGAGCGACTTGTGTCACGTGACGGTGACGGCGCGGGGTTTGAGTGCATTTGCGCGGTCACTCTGTTCTAAGCCGCCCGGTCTGACGCAAGTCAGCAGTGTTCTCGCTCTGAAATGTTTTTGCGTTTTACTGCGGTCGTGTTCAGTGGAAGCTGGAAGACATCAAGGGGAGTATAAGTTCGGTTTTATATCAATGTTATATTGATTGACGAGCATGTTTTTTTCCTTTCGGGGTTTTTATGTTTATTTTTTACTGGTTTGTTGTTTCTGTCTTATTTTTTTCATTTTCGGCATGAGGTCTGGTTTTTTGTGTTTATGTTATGCTATCACGGTAAGAGGAGGGCCGATGAGCAATGGGTCGGCAAATGCCCGGTATTATAGGTTCTTTGAAGGTTAGATGAAACAACGAAACTTGGACTGCTGGTAGAAATAGGCTTGGTGTGTGTTTCAGATTTTGGGAGATTGGGTGTAGGTATTTGCTAGGTGTAACATAGCTGTAACTGTTTTTTGTTTCTTCCCTGGAACGGAGCGCCGGACTTTGCCATTCTACACTCCGTGTGAGTGGAATCAGCTCATGCTTTCTCGGTGTAGCAGCTCAGAGTGCACGGCCTGGCCGGCGTAGGGTTTGGTGGCCACGTGGTGTTGGCCGGTGGTTGTGCAGAGAGTTGGTATAATTGCCGTTTTGTGGTGCCTGGTGTTGGTTGAACTGTGGTTCCCATACAGGTGAACGGTCACTGGCGTAAGGTGTGCCAGGTGGGCGTACCCCGTGGAGAATGAGCTGCTGGTGATGTTGGCTCTGTCCGAGCGTGTCCGAGCGGGGTTTTCATTAGTGGGACGGCCTTGAGTGGGTTAGGGATTGTTGATAACAAGGGTACCAACTACCGGGTGAGACTTGAGAGGGTAAATGGAGTTCATGCTAAGGATAACCAATGCAATGGCATTGGTCTAAGTTGGTATTGTTATCTGGTGTTGATAGGTTGGAATGAAAGGTTTAGTGGGTGATACATGGAGGTACAGAGGTGATACAGTGGAACCCAGTTTGGGTGTGATAAGTCTCGGCGGACTAGGATATTATGGATTATGTAGATGGGGAATTATGTAAGATGGTTTTGGGATGCATTAGCGATAGCATAGTAAGTTACAGGCTATTTACCCAGAGGAAGTTTTCACACCCATGTTTAAAGGCTGCAGTAGGTAGGCATGCCATTTTCTAGGATGCAATTTTAGGGTAGCCCATGATTGTGTGGCTCTCACTCTGCATTGAGGTACGAGTGAACTGAGTTTCGTTTTTTTATGGTAGCGGCGTTTGTAAATAGTTTTTTTTTTTTGCCAGAGTGAGGTACCTTTCTTGTCGTTGGTCAATAGAGCCTTGCCTAGACATGCATAAGCGACAATCATCATAGTAATATTGGTATGCAATATGCATATCCTGCCGATATGTCATCACACGCATTGTGAGATAAATGGCCCCGGTATATATAACCCCCTTTTGATACGAGATTTCGGCTAAAAATGGTTGTGACACAATCTGTTTTTTTTTTCTTCCATGGCTTGGTGGTTGGCATCCGACTCTGAACGGCGACGGATCGGCACACTCGGCGGGGCCGGCCCGCTTTGCCAGAGTCTTCTCTGGCCGCTGAAGGATTCCTTCACAGCTCCTGTGTCAGCTGAGGGAGTTCCGACCCCTCCCAGCTCAACTAGCTCCAGTGGTGCTGCCTAGCAGGTCTTACGGGACATCGTCAGGTATAGGCCAAGGTGGCCGGGGTTTTGAAAGGTACGTTATTCCATGTACGGGGCCCGGTACATATCTGTTAATGAAGGTTCTAGGGGACCCGATAGGGTGGATTG